TCACTCTCCTCTTTGTGAGAGCTAGTGAAGTTCTAGAAAGAGAGACTGGGAATCAGACGTGAAGCTAAACTGCATCAGAGACAACAATGTGGGTAATTGGCAAATAGGATTCAATGGCTATTACTGGGATTTAACCACGTTTGCAGGGAGGCAGAATATGATGAAAAAACAACCAGAAGTTAGGAGGCGTCAGTTCATACGTAAATCTGTCATTTGCTCTGTGTCTTGGTAAGTTCCCTTACCTATATGCCTCAGTTTCCTCATCTGTAAAATGGGAATAACATTCCTTGCCCGAGGAGATGCTAGTTTCCTCAAATCCATTCTGATTCTTAGCTGAGCAAACACCACTCCAACAAGAACTACATTTCCCAGGCTTCCCTGCAATCAGATGGGGCCGGTTGACTGATTCTAGCAAAAGGGAAGTAAGCAGAAGGTATGTACATTTTTCTTGAAAGGAGAAGGGGTGCCCTTATTCTGCCCTTAGTCTTTGCTGCTGGCTGGAATGCTGTTGTACGGCTGGAGCTCCAGTAGTCATATTGCATGGTGCGAGATCTTGCAGATGGGAGGTACACTTGGCAAAGAAACAAAGTTTTTAATCTTAAAAATTACTATATTAGTATATAAAAAACCAAACCCATTGCCGTCGAGTCCATTCCGACTCATAGTGACCCTATAGGTCAGAGTAGAACTGCCCCATAGGGTTTCCAAGGAGCAGCTGGTAGATTCGAGCTGCCGACCTTTTGGTTAGCAGCCAAGCTCTTAACCACTGCGCCACCAGGGTTTTTTGCCAAATGTCACCCTCAGTTGAGAGCCACTGCTCTAGACCAGTGCTGTCCCATAGAAATATAATACAAGCCACAAATGTGAGCCCTGTATATAGCTTAAAATTTTCTAGTAGTCGCATTAAAAAGAGTAAAAAATAAACAGGTGAAGTGGTTAAGAGCTCGGCTGCTAACCAAAAGGTCAGCAGTTCGAATCCACCAGCCACTCTTGGAAACCCTAAGGAGAAGTTCTACTCTGTCCTATAGGGTTGCTAACAGTCAGAATTGACTGGACTGTGATGGGTTTGGTTTTGGTTGTATTGTATTTAATGCAGTATATTAAAAATATATGTGACCAATATAAAATTTATTAACAGGCTATTTTACATTCTTTTTTTTTTTTTTTATGTGACGTCTTTGAAATCCGGTGGCTATTTTACAGTTACAGGACATCTAGATTCAGATTACCCGTATTTCAAGTGTTCAATAGCCACGTGTAGCTCAGGAGCGCGGTATCGGATGGCGCTAACGCTAGACTTATAAAACTGGAGGAAGACATAAGTCTCTATCTTAAGTTATTTTCACTTTGGGTTTTCTGTTACTTGCAGAATGTAATCCTAACTAGCACATGGGGTTTTTGATCAGCTACCGGTAGTCCCAGACTTACAATGTATTCGAGTTATAACAAACCACACTTAATGACTGTTCTTTTTTTTGTACATCTTATCATCAGTGATAAGTACTACATACAGTGCTGCAGCGCGTAGTTTGCTGAGGTTATCATTCGCAGATGTTCAATTTTACGATTTACTGTTCAAAACACTGCTGTATAGATTTCGTTTTCTAAACGAAATCAGGGGCTTCAGTTGCTTGAAAACATGGACTCCAATGCTGATCGCTTTGCCAAAGTCCACAGGCAGATTCAGGAAGCAGTGAGATGTTACCATGAAATATATGGAGAAAGAAGAAAAGGACCATACAGCTAGCTCTCACTAATTTTCTGACTAGAAACTCCATCCTCATTCACACGGATAATCCAGATGATCCAGAACCTTCCACAAGTGGAGTTATGACCCTAACTCACAAAATGCCAATGTCATCCGCCTCGTCTTCATTGTCAGAGTAAATTTTTATGATCTGTGTATTTTTTTATGTATGTATGTATTAAAATATTTCATAAGTTTATATGTAATGTTTCCAACCCCCAGGATAAATAAAAATCAGCTTTATAAAGACACAGAACTCACAGACCATGCTCACGATTATGTGGTTTATTCGGGTAGTAACAGGCTGCAACTCGGGATCAGGATCAACTTGGAAGTAACAGGATACAGTTCTTCAAACCCGACCACTTCTAACCAAGACAGCTGTCAGCTTCTCAGCCATGCCCACAGGCAGATGACCCTTCTCTCAGCTGTGCCTGAAGCAGGCCTTCTCTCAGCCTCTGCCCTGCTTGGGCAAGTGGTACAGCTCTTTAGCTCCACCGAAAAGTGCTGGGAGGCACCCCACTCCACCAGCGAGCCTCCTGCCTGAAGGCACTCAGCTCTCTCACTCAACAAGCCCACTGCAGCTGCCTCACTCTGTCTTCAGTGTTACAGCTCTCTCTTTTCTGGGTCTAGGAGGTTTTCATCCCAGGCCCCCTGGTCCAAAGGCCACAGTATGCTCCAGGCTCTTCTTGATGATAGTGAGGTCCCTCTCGACCTCCTTGGGATTGGCGCTTATATTCAATTTCAAGGCATGGCCCAGACCACAAATTGACCAATCCCTTGGTAGACCACAAATCACTCAATTTGCATAGTAATCAACCCATTCCTGCAAGGTGACTTAATCCTATTGGGTGGTTTTATGCACCTTATTTGCATAGCAGACTAACCAATCCCTTGCAAGTCTGTGGCCTAGCCAATCATTTTGGCAGAATTATAAACCCAAGGCCAGAAAGGCCACATATAAAGAGAAACCCATTGCACCGCACAGGGGCCAACTCAACAGCAGATAACAACACTCATCTGACCCCTCTGCTTCATCACCATCCTGAAACTAAACCTTAATGCCACTCATTTTACTAATCACAAAACCGAGGCTCAAAGGGGCTAAGGGACTTGATTGATATATCAGTTCTCTGTTGCTATGAAGCAACCTGTCCCATAATTAGTGGCTCAAAACCACAGCCATTTACTTGCTCATGCATCCGCATTTTGGGTAGGGCTTGGTGGGGACCGCTCGTCTTTGCTCCAGGTGATGTCTGACGGGGCAGGCCCATTGGAGAAGTCATGCTTGAGCACCTGAGGGCCACCTGGGTCTCACTCTTTATGTGGTGGTCCAGACCTCCAGGAGAGCAGAGGCAGAAGCCGCCAGGCCTCGTAGGGGCCAGCCCTGAACTGGGATGGCATCGCTTCTGTTGTGTCCTATGGTCCAAGCAAGCCATGTGTCAAACCTGGGATGAAGGGAGGGGAAACAGGATGTTGGTGCATGTCTTAACAGAAATACCACAAATGGGTGGCTTTAACAAACAGAAATGTATTTTCTCACAGTTTAGGAGTATAGAAGTCCAAATTCAGGGTGTTGGCTCTTGGGGAAGGCTTTCTCTCTCCGTTGGCTCTGGAGGAAGATCCTTGTCTGTTTGCGCTTTTGCTCTTGGGTAATCTTCATGTGGCTTGGCATTTCTCTTCCCCCATGGCTGCTTCCCAATTTGTTTGTTTAATCTCATTTACATCTGAAAAGAGATTGACTCAAGACACACCCTACACTAATCCTGAATCATTAACATAACAAAGACAACCCATTCCAAATGGGATTATAACCACAGGCACAATCTGACTCATAGTGACTTTAGAGGACAAAGTGGAACCACGCCATAAGGTTTCCAAGGAGCGGCTGGTGGATTCGAACTCCTGACCTTTTGGTTAGCAGCCAAGCTCTTAACCTCTGCATCCTCAGGGTTTAGAAGTTAGCAGTTACAACACGTATTTTTGGGGGACACAATTCAATCCATAATAGTGCCCTTTGGACCAAGGGAAGCAAAGGAAGCAGGAGTGGACTGAGGGAGTGTAGATGCAGGTGTGGTGACAGATTTGACTGGTCCCACGGGGAGCCCGTGGGCTGAAATGGCTTATCAGTCTTGTCCCCCCTAAAAACCAAACCCGTTGCCATACTGTCGACTTTATAGGACAGAGTAGAACTGCCCCATAGGGTTTCCAAGGAGCAGCTGGTGGATTCGCACTGCTGATCTTTTGGTTAGCTCCGCCTTGTCCCCAGTTAGGCTGAAATGTCCATACTTTTATATTCCTGCCTGAATAATCATCCTGCCTGGATATCACTGGGACTTGGGACACACCAGGAAGGGTGTGGCCTTGGACGGAATGGCTCTGTGTAGCAGAGGCGGTCCCTGAGGGTGCTTAGGGCTGGCGGCTGACGGTACTCCCTGGGGCGAGGGCAGAAAGTCCTTCCTTGAAAAGGGATCCGAGCGGCACATTTCCATGTTCCTCGCAAGGCGGTGAGAAGTGGTAGTCCTTTAGAGTTGCCAGTTGGAAGCTGTTGCTGGAGGGAGGGGAGCTGAGAGGGCAGGGTGAGGAAGGGCTTTGCCCACGTCCGTGCTTGAGCGAGCTGGGAGTTCTGGGCTCGGGTCCCCATGGGACCTCATTCAAGTCAATTAACAGCGACAGAGTGACAGTGTGCCGGGCGTTGTGCTATGTATGGAAAAGGGGGTCCGGATATCACCTGGTGTGGGTCACGGCTTCACGGAGCTCCACTCCCTCCTCACCGGCCCCCTTTGCCCTCCTGCCCCCCTCCAACCCGCTGTCAGCACTGCTGCAAGCCGGATCTTTCCAAAACGCAAATCGGAAATGTGACTCCTGGGCTTCAAACACTTTAGGGGCTTCCCTTCATACTTAGACTAAAACCCCAGCTTCTCCTCTCAGCGGACGGCTGAGGGAGTGTCACCTGGGTGCCCCTGGGGTAGGAGAGAGGCGCCAGACCCAGCCCGCGGCCGCACCGCCCCTCCGATCTCGCGGACCTGGGGACGCGCTCGGTTCGGGGAGGGGCGCCACACAGGTTAGCTCGGGTGCAGCGGCCACTGGCCAGCCGCCCGTCCTCCGCGTTTCCTGGGGGCGGCCCCGCCGCGGCCCCGCCCCTCGAGCCGCCCATAAATGCGCCCTGCGGCGAGCGCGGCGGGCCTGGAGCGCCGGAGTCTGGCGTGCGTGTGCTGTCGGCGCGCAGGTCGGCGGCGCTCGGAGCTCAGCCATGCTGTTCTGGCACACGCAGCCCGAGCACTACAACCAGCACAACTCCGGCAGCTACCTGCGGTA